CAGAAACCATACGTTGCGTCACCACCTTAGAAACATCAGGCTTCCGCTCGCAAACGTACGGAAACTAATTTTAAAACGATTTCTCAAAACCACCTCGTAGTTGGGAGAACGATGTAGCTATGATGTTGAATGCCTCCCGCTCCACTCACGGAAGTACAGCGCAAATCTTTTCGCGGTGAGCTTCGCTTCTGTTTCTCAGTATAAACGGCTCTGCATCACTGTGGGCATTGCACGTGCAACCCAGGCGGTTATGTTTTAATTTATATAGTGCATAAAAGCTTGGCATTGCACGTGCTTGCACCAGCAGAAGGGTTGAAATATCCTCATTCTGGGTTGTGAAAAAATTCCACCAGGCGGCGATACCCAAACTTAAAGGAGCGGTGCAACGACATTCAATTGCAATGTTTTTCACTTTACACGAGCTTACTGGCACTAGTGGGACTCAAGGATACTCGCACGCAACGCCACTGGCCAAGGAACTCCTTTGTTGCGGTGTAATTTCAAGGACAAAATCGATCATTTTCATTCAATCTCTCCTTTGCAAAATTTGATGACGTAACGTGGGGATTGAAGTACTCCCAAGTGACGATATTTGAATGCGGTTCATAGATTGGACCCGAGCATTGCGTGGGCACTTGATTTGTGCTCGTAATAATTACTAGCTCGAGAAGCATTCGGGTAGTGGCACGTGTCCAATCGCTGCAACGACGACAGTGAGCCGAGCCATAACAACGTCTGGAACTCAGCGCGTGTCCTGTGCTTTGCCAACCCCAGCGCGTGGCTATGATCAACATTGACGGCATATAATCGGCTCCAGATCACGTGGCCGCTTGTCCTGGCTGCGAGTTGAGGGGGTGGACGCTGCTCGTTTTTCTTTAATTTTTTTATGACTTCTATTGCATGGGGTGAAAAATGAACGCCGCGTGTTTCATAGGTCATTAACGTCAGGGATCCGTTTTAAGGGGTATTTGCGCCAATTACAAAAATTGTTGCATCGCCCCTTTAACGCCGCGAATAGACAACTCGGACTTGAAGGGAACCGCGAAGCTTAGTAAAGAAATCCACAGTGCTTCCGCAACGTGGATTCCACACCATCAAGATCGTCGTTCTTAACAGATGATAGCTAGGGCTAAAGAGCTGGTTCGACGGTATTCATAATCAGATTTGTTTAAAATAACTGTGAAAATATGGGAGTATTCTGGAGCAAACGCGTTACAGAGGAAAATACAGTTATTTAAAGAGCGATTTTTATTATAGCTTTTCTCAATTTTATTCAAATCTATTTTCTTGAGTGTCATTTATTGCAACTGGACTAATTGTCATAAATATAAAAAAAATTGACTAATGTTTTAATAGACAACGACACTTACGCCATCTTTTGCTTATGTGGGAAACATATCTTCCCAATGAAGTTCCCGAAATCGCCATGTGTGCGGTAGAGGTTACAGGGGTGCCACCCCCGTCTCCCCGGCGGACGCGCCGCGTTCAACTACCGAATTTGAAATTCACCTAGGTCAGGACGCGCTACCTGAAAGGCCCGCTGAAGCATGGTTGTATAAAAACAATATTAATTGTACCGCAAAACCCTGCAAACTAATGATTTTAAAAACATAACGCGCCCCTCTTTTTGTACTAAACTCCAATAAATTTCATACAAAAAGAGTCTTTTCCGTTTGTTTTTACGCAAAAACAGGCTTTCAAAAAGCCTGTTTTTACGCGAAAACAGGCTTTCAAAAAGCTAGAGGTGACCACAGTACAGACAAACGATAAAGAGTGGCGCTGTTGTCGCATTTAGCTCGGTCTCGGTGGACGCCAGCGGCCCAGGTTTCGACGGCGAGTTTCCCAACTGAGTGTTTTAGTAACGTTGCTAACCACCAACTCAGTCAACTCAAGAATGCACTTTTAAGGTTTAGGTTTATTATGGTGGGCTAGAAGGAATGGGGGTGAAGGTTGCTTGCTACTCCCAGTGGCCGGAAGCGGTCCCACGCTTCATGCTTCGTGCGTCACTATCACCACGGTACCATCTGTAAGCTGGCAGCAGCGCCGTAACGACAAAGACCAGGTAATTTATCGGAAATCGGATTCTAAATGAAAGGGAGCAGGCAACAAATAAAAATTTATTATGGGTCGTGTTCCCATTAACGGCTGATCAATACATTTACGGAGTGGGATAGAGTGCTCAATCTGCCCATTTATGCTAGCACTTTCTTTTATTCTAGCCCTGGAATGCAAGGTGGCGCTGCTTCAAGCATACTGGTAATGTTGCGCTTTGTAGGCAACTGAAAGACCTCCCCTACCGCTCTCATTCCCTCCAACCGACCATTTAAAAATTATTAGCTTAGGATTGTCTACAGTGCAGGTCTACAGTGCAGGCTACAGGATGGGTGCGTGAATTTAGCACTTTGTTTACACCATAACTCACGTATTACACGTTTACGTGTCCGGCCTCAGGGCGCAGCCATCTTGCTGAGTTGGGGTGCGCTGGGACGCGTCATAATTCGATTACGAAGCATTGCTAAGGCGTCGTAATCGGATAATGGCCGCGCCCAAGCGCACCCCAACGAGGAAGATGGCGGCGCCCTGAGACAGTCTCCATGCATACAGGTTCGAACACAAGTGAATGCGATATCCGTGCTTCGAATGCCGCATGGCAATGGGATCAGAAAAAAAAACTTGGCGCGTGGCATTCGAACCACCGATATTGAGGAAACTCGCGTTTGCAAACTGTATTTTGCATGGTGTTTGAACAGTCTGAGCCTGGCTTAAAGGGGTACTCCGGAAATTTGCTTAGCTACCCTAACTAACTATACTTTCGGAATCACCGGTCTTTACCCTTTCCGATGTGTGTTATTTAGTATCGCGAAATTCAAAATAGTTATCGTGAAATCGGCAAGGAAAAATGAGGCCAAAACCAAGATTCAAATATACCCGCGTTTTTCAGTAACATGACGTCAGGGGAAGGCAAGCTTGCAGATTGAGCGGGCAGTCTGAAAATTAAATATGCCAAGCATTTGTCTCGTGCAGCTGCGCAGGTGCCGGAGCGAGCTTCCAAGGCATTTATTTGACACCATGAGACTGTTTGGAATCAGTTGGGAACAAAGTCTACAGTCCAAAGAGTGAACCCCTGCCTGCTGCTGGCGTCACTTTTTCATTGTCGCCAGTAGAGACTTTCACTTTGAAAAACATGGTGAAGACAAAAGTTGTAAATTCAATGACTTCGCAAAAAAAAATTATTTGGGCCCAATATTTAAGTCATTGATTCAGTGATGTTTGTTGGTGCGTTTAGCAAATTTTCAGGCAAATCGTGCAATATGAAGAAAACGCCGGCGTACCCCTTTAATCCATAAAGTCCCTTGATAAAATGCACGCTTACAAGTACCGCCAACCATTGTTGTGGAAACGTGCAAGACACGTGCCGCGAGAGGGTGCGCGTCCAAGGGCTGCTCGTTTCAGTACTGCGCCGCCATTTGCTTCCAAGGGCCGCTCGAGACACGGGACGGGCCTCGTGCACTGGCGTGTTTGACGCTACTTGAAAGACAAACGCAAACACATCGAGGGGCTTTATTTAGTCATAGCACCAACACTACGCCTTTAAGGGTGTTGCGTAACACCCTAATGCCGGAGTCCCACTAATGCGGCAAACAGGAACAGCCGACACTGACAAGCCTCAAGCACGTGGAGAATGCACATAAAGGTACCTATTGCAGTCTTGCAGCCTCAGAATGCTCATGAAATAAGCACAAATGACTGATATTCAGCGTCTATTCTTTTCTTTAATTTGTAATGTGACTTCGTCTAGGAATTCTAACATCACTAATCTGCAGCGTTTTTAGATGAAACGCTATTATCTGTGACACTTAGTCATTTTTCAACAATCATAAAATTGTAGAGATAAATAGAGCACCCTTTCAGCCGGGTGCCTTGAAAGAGTCTGCTATAGCCTGTTTTATCATAAATAAAAGTGGAGTCCAAGGCTACGAAACAAAAAAGCATTCTACAGGGATGTGCCATTAGACCACTTCTATTCAACATGGCAATGGCAGTTCTTCCTGATTCACTTTCTCAACTGCCTTCCCTACTCAAATTTTCATCTATGCCAATGACGTCGCCATGTGGTGTGTGGGCCTGACCCGACGTGCAAAGAAGGTTCGCAATCGGCTCCAAGTGACCCTCAATGCTGAAGCGACGCTTGGACTGAGCCTTTCGCCTGAAAAGACATCGACGCTGCTCCATCGTCCCTGCAGGGGACGTGCTCCTGAAAAACCACTTGCTGGCATTCAGGCAAAAAGAGTCAGAACACACAGATACCTCGAACTACTCGTGAATGACCGCGCAACTTGGAGACCGGAAGTTCGAAAGGTTCTCTCAAAGTGGTGTAGCCTTCTGATGCCCGCGGGGACATCCCTGGGGAACATTACAGCAAGCAATCCTCCGACTGTATCGAGGATTAATCCAATCCCGGCTTTATTACTCATGCCATTCTTCAGCAAAGCTCCAGCTGAACAAAAAGCTATTAAAACATTTCATCGAGTGGCGTTGAGGATATGCGTCGGGTTGTCGACATACGCCGGATACAACACCATGCTCGTTGCAGCCGTGGAGTGGCCTATTCTTCTTCGAACCGATGATGCTTTGGTAAAGTGGTAATTTGATCTCGTTGGTAAAACTTCAAGATTAAACAGCGCACATAACGTCGGAGGAAGATAACTGTCTTTTTCTCTTCCTCCGACGTTGCGCTGTTTAATCTTACCAGTGATACTAGTTTACTTCAAGTGCATTGCGCCAGGTGCACTTACTACATCTAATTTACATAACATCTAATTTACTTTGTACTTTACTTCAAATACACTTTAGATGTACTTTATCCAACACTGATTAGATGCTGAATTAGAGAGCACATAGCCATATGTGCTCTCGAATTCAGCACGGCTGTAAAAAGACAAAACAGAAGACGAGGAACCGCAAGCTCGAGCACGGCTTCTGCTCTGTGCACAGCTGGAAGCGATCCATCGAAGCCAACCGAAAGGAGCGGTCGTCCGAGGAGAACGCTGCCCTCGAGTCGACCTAACAGCTGCGTGATGACGTCGCCGCCGCCGTCCAAGAAGGTGGTCATCAAGGCGTCCGATATACCCGAGCATATGCAGCAGGAGGCCATCAACGTGGCTATATCCGCCCTGGAAAAGCACAAGATCCTGAGGGACGTGGCAGCCTTCATCAAGACTGAGTTTGACCGCAAGTACAGCCCCACGTGGCACTGCGTAGTAGGACGCTCGTTCGGTTCCTACGTGACCTACGAGACCAGGCGCTTCACCTACTTCTACGTCGGGCCGGCCGCTGTGCTCCTCTTCAAGGCCGGATAGCCGCGGACAAGGTGCGCCCGTAAAAACGCCGCTCGGCCTCGCCTGGGCCAGTGCCAAACAATGTACGGATGTTGTGGTGTGCCTACTTGGGAGCAAGAAACCTGTTCTTTCAATAAAGAGTCTCAGTTTTGACAGCCACCTGTGTTTGTTGAACCACGGCCGGGCTAGAATGAAAAGGCGCGGTTGAACCATGGGATTGTCTTTTTTATTATTCAGCGGACCACCTGGTATTGAGGCTTTTGCGCGTTTCTTACATGGATGAGATGGTAAAGCGTTCGAGGTATTCGTGTCAGACCGTCCAGCTTGTCTTCGAAAAGTGTTAGCTTTAAGAGCACATAACGGCACATGAGCCCCCCCCCCCCCCTCCCCCAACCCTCGCACACGCACACTTCTCGGTGTTTCTCACATAGTGAATACTCATAAAAACTTTGAACTGGAGAACAAACCAACAAGGAGTAACACAAGAGGTGGCGTAAAGTTGATGTTTAGGACGGTTTTACTCATCGCCGTTCTACTTCCGCTAAGCCGTTTGCAGCCATGCTGGCGGTGTCGTGTAAACAGGGTCCTTCTCCAGATATTTTATTCGTAAAGGCGCCCCCTTCCCCTCCCAAATTTCCCTCTTCCTCACCACTGCCACATGACCTCGCACCCTAATTTCCCATACACTTACAACGCCAGTTAGTAGGAAACTGTATGGCGTCAAGTTCTTTCATCCTGTATAGGTGGCGAAATGTGCATTAGGTCAATGTGTGATTCGAATTATTTAATTTAGGCGCAATTTTATTTTTTACTCTCCGATTGGTCAAGAAATAGGACAGAATACTCAACAAGTGCTCAAAAGTTTATTGGCACTACTAAAGGGACTTCTTTCTTTCTAAAATGACAACCGCCCTCTACCGACGAAGATGATGCTGGAAGCCGCCCGCCATAGGAAAGCCTCCACCTGTAGCATAATGGTAGCCTGAAAGCGACGAACTCAGGGGAGACCCATGGAAGGGATGATGAGAACCCAGCAATCCTGAACCGTATGAAAACGCGCCATGAGACGACAGACCGTTTCCGTACCCGAAGTTACCGTGAGATAAGGAACCTCCGTACCCAAGGCCACCATGAGACAACGCGCCTCCGTACCCAAATCCGCCATGATGCAGAGCAGCGCCTCCGTACCCAAATCCGCCATTATGCAGAGCAGCGCCTCCGTACCCGAAGCCATTGTGCATTAATCCCCCCGAACCATAGAGACCGCCGGAACCATAAAGAAGATGGTCGTGATTCAGAAGTCCCCCTCCGTACCCCAAGCCGTGATGTACTAACCCTGATCCGTATCCTAGGTGGCCATGGTGCAGGCCACCTGATAGCAGCGGCCCGCCAATGTGCGATGGGAACGTGCCAGAGCCAAATGCTAAGTGATCATGTTCTAGGCCTCCATATCCAAACCCGCCGTACCCTCCGCCTAACCCAAGGCCGGAATTTAGGCCAAACGAACTTCCGTACAAGCCCTGCCCACCATGAAGGTTGTCCAAGTAGTGGATCGACGTGCAGTGTTTAAGCTTCCTTATCACGCTCTGCAGATGCGTTTCCGGATATTGAACCGCGACTCCGCCAAGTCCTGTGCCGTAGCCGAAGCCACCTTCATGCAGCATCGAGAGACCATGACCGCCTTGCTGCCACGGATAAGAAGATTGGATGTAGTTCGTGTGAAACGAAGGGCCTCCGGTGGCGTACGAGTGGGATTGCAAACCGCCACCGAAAAACCCAGGATGCAGCCCTCCACCATACATGCCGTTCAGACCATGACCGCTGTGGTACACAGAAGATATTGCAGCGTGGGCAGCCGACTCGTGGAGTAGTCGCTGGTGCGCCGTGTTGGCCGCTTCCTGGGCTCTTTGGGCGTAGGTCTGGTGTGACATCGCCTTGTGTAAAAGTTGCTTGTGGTAAAGGGATGCCTGAAGCTGAGCATTATGGGCCGCGTCCGCCTCGGCCAGGGCTTGCGATGCTAACTGGGTATGAACCTGCGCAGCGTTGGATAGGTGCTGGTGTTCCGCGGCAGCTTGGTGCAGGTTTCCGCTTGAGTAGGAGACATGATGAGTCAGCGAAGAGAGACCACCTGACAGAGGGCCTTGCATCAAGTCTCCGTATGCTCCACCGTGAAAGTTCCCGGTTGAATAGCCCGATATGTGGTGCCCCAAGCCGCCGAAGCCGCCGCCTCCCAGTAGCAGGTGACCCGTGGCCGTCATCGGGGCGTGGAAGCCGTTCATGCCGCCTAGGTATCCACCGTGCAGACCTCCGGAGCTGAAAGACGTGTGGTGGCCCAGAGGAGAGTGGAAGCCTGAGTAGCCGCCAAAGAGTCCGCTGCCGTGCAGGCCCCCCGTAGAAAAAGACGTTTGGTGGAGGCCTCCGCCGAAGAGGTTGGAAGAGGAGCCCAGCATGCTTGAAAGGTGGCCGGAGTGGCCGTGGTATCCCCCCGATGACAGGAACGGGGACGCGTGCACAGTACCCGTGTAACCTCCTGGCGAGAGAGCAGAAGACGAGGAGTATACTTTCTCGCTCTTTTTGGTCTTCACGTGGGTGATTTGGTGGCCCCCGCCGAAACCGCCACCATTTCCAGGGAAGAACAAACCTGCGCCGATCTGCCGGGCGCGTCTGGGGGCTCCCTGGGCTGCATGGCCGCTTAGCAGGAATCCGCACAGGAGAGGTGCGGCTAGAAACAGCGCCCGCAGCATTTTGAACGCAAGCTGAAAGAAAAAGCGTTCTGGTAGTTTATATGCTGCAAACGTCATTATGATGTGTAACATTTAAAACGATGCCACGTGTGTGCTTGTAAACAGACTCGGTAAACGATATATATAAAGGTAATTAAAACTCACAGCAGTGGGCCCGATTCGGAATAAACAACATGTTTACGTTTCATCCAGGGATGATTACATATGAAGCGCAGGCAGACGCCGTCAAACTTATCAACCCTTGCCAAGATGGACACCGTCAAAGTCACTGGCAGGAGGAGAAAGGGCAGGGCGTATCTTTCGGATGTCCTACATTCCAGCATATGCACTCGTTGCCTTGTAGCGTGCTATAGCTGCGCGTGCATGGCTGAAGCTCACGACATGTCGAAGCGTTATCGAGCTCGCGCTGGAGGCCGGACAACGGAAAGAATATCCTGTCGCTTTCATCCATCATCCTGCGTGTTCTTTGCCCAAGGGATTGCGAGCAAGGCACGTTCTATGCGCACGGACTCTCAACATGGAGCGTGCCAGATGCTCTTTGACGGAACGGTCTCTGAGGCGCGAAATTCTAGCTGATATAATCACTCCATTAAACAATACTATAGAAAATTTCTCCGCAGCGTTGTGACACGACAGTCGACAGAGCTCGAGGGCAATGCTCCAGATGCGGGAGCATCGGGGCAGCTGAGGGCATATACATTCCTGGGCTATGAGCTGGCGCCTACGTTCTTCACTGCGGTCTACAACAGATACGGCTCTAGTCTACATTAAAACCAACTGCACGAGTCTGAGCATTTTGACGCGGAGAAATAAAGAGACTCACTTTCAGAAGCGATTCAGGCCACGTCTGAAGACCGGAGATTGGCTTGCGCCTTTTAAAGCCACATGGTTCCCGCTCAATTTCGGCACGTCACGCTGTGGATGTTCATCCGGCACTGCGGTGGGCCGTCAAGCGTTTCGGCCGCTGATGTATGATGACCAGACCGATCACGGCAACCGACCCGCCAGACAGCTGTACCTGACACGACTGCTCTGCTTTGGCCAAGGCAATTAGCAGCCCCATTCTAAGGTAGCACGCAGGTACGCTACTGGCTTCTTGCAAGACGACAGCCTATTCCGAGACTGAACGTGGGAGGCGTGATGAACAGTTCACGAGAATATTTAATTAGGAACACGACAGTGACGGCGGAACGTACACTTGTAGAAAGTGCGAGGTTGTGAACTCTGGAAGCAACTGTTTGTCGTGGGAGTTGCAGTGACGGCCGAGTTCTCTCAGTGTCCAAGGGATGATTTCTAGGTGATGACGAGCAACATTTCTCACTCGCTTTGACATGTAGTATACTTCTAGACCAACGATCCAGACTACTTTATTTGACCGGAATAATTTGTACCCAGTAAAGAAATCGAGGAACACGCTCGCTATGTCGCGAGAGTCGAGCACGGGATGTATCCCGGAGCGCCACACCTCAAATTCCTTTGTTAAATTGTCGTTCGAAAAATTTCCGACAGAAGAAATCTGCAAGTACGAGACTCTTACATGTGGACGTCACGATACACACATCACTGGCCTCTACTTGGATTGCTTGACCACCATGTACCCCACCCACGGGCCCAGGCCACCAGTCAAGCTCAAAACATGCAAAATTAATGTCTCGCGCCAGCTCACTGCTGTATTAGCGAAGTGCGTGACAAAAAGCGTCGTTGTGGTTGACCTTTTGCGATTAACCAAACAAACACTCACTATGACGTCTTGCGTGTAATAAATTCCACGTTTAGTAATCGAGTTTAGAGCAATGTCAGACTGTCTACCTTGACGGTGATAACTCCACGTTTCCACCGTGCTTTTTACACACCTCCAAAATTGTCGCTGGAAATTGATAAGTCTTGTCGAGACGTACAAAGAGTGAAACCAAAAAAGGAGCCACCGAAACATCCAGTCGCCAATATCATAGACCAAGCAGTGAGTGGATGATCGTCCAGTTCTTCGCATAAAACTTGGTATCAGGGCAAGGCTGTTATTGTGTTTTAGAACCAAAATGAACTATCTATAACAAGTATAGTAAAAAAAAAAAAAAACTATTTGGAACACGAACACCGAAGTATGTCGAAAGAGGAAATACGGGAGAAATACGACGGTTGCAGCTTTTATTTGTTGCATGGTAAATAGTGTGAGCAAGGCGCGTGAATATCGACAAAAAGCATTAAAATTATGTGTCCCTTGGCCTGATGACTAATGCAAAACGGAAACACAAACGCTTCCCGACTTCAGCTTACCAAGTTTTGCGTTATTTTATTGTGCAATGTCCCAACATTGCTTATTTCATCTCCTTCTTTTAAATTTATCTTAGTAACTAGAACAGCTCGTCCGAATTCCTATTTCTGTGACATTTCTTCCTTCTTGCCTAACGGGCTGCATTCCACCAAACTAGGCGCAGTTTTGATTAATTGGAAAAACTTTTTTATGACCCCAGTATAATGTCCAATCCATTGAAGCTGTCCCATCGCGAGTGCGGCGGCTAGAAAAGTGCATACTATCTAATTCGCGTGGTGGTGCCAGTCAGTAGCACAGAACACTGTGTGGTGCTTCGCAGGTGAAAGGTCGGCGGGCCAACACTACCCAGAGGACGAGGATTCCACGTCAAAATGTCCAACGAGACGAAATGTCCAGTATTGGACATTGCGTCTCGATGGACACTTAGTCTCGGTGGACATTTTGACGTGATTTGACATTAAGTCTCATTAAAAATTTTGATTCGTTGGACATTTTGACCCGATTTGACATTTCGACTCGGTGGACGTTGTGAACCGATGGACATTTTATTCCGTTGAACGTCTTGTATCGTTGACCCAGATTCTGACACTGAATGGTGCTGAGACGGACGTCTTATATTCAGAATACTTCACGCGCCCCGGGTTTTCGCTGAAAAGGTAGTAATATGTGTCCACTTGCGGAAATCTGACTAACTTTTATTTTGGAAAGAACAAAATATTTTCTATCCACTAAAATGTAACCCTAGCGGTTGGCAGAACGGACGCTATTCATCTTCATGTATTCGCGGGCTCTGTTCGCTACCATTTCAGCACTGAAAATTCCCGAGCACTGCTTAAAATGAATCGGATTACGCTATGTTCTGAAAACTTGGGTTCCTCACTTCAGCCGCTGAGTTATATCCTGGTAGGGTTGAGGCTCACCGTAATATGAAGCTTATCTTTGCAATGCTTAAAACAGGATCTCCTTCTTTAAGACCCTGCAAATCAGGTAACACGTGAGGCAGTATAATTAAATGTAATGAACGACAGCAAATGCAATAATACATTTTGTAATTAGGATAACGCGATTGAAGCAAAGACAAAATAGCGCTAACTGAAACTTTGAATAACCATTTGGTTCATGACCAAAAGAAATGAAAATCTCAAAAAGACACGACGGAAAAAAAAAAAAAGTTTTGTTCTACTTATTGCACGCGCATTAGCCATCACCTTAGTGTTTTAGTCGGCCACCCCAAATCTTTACCCCGGAGAGGGCGAGTACATGCAGTGTGTACGAAGAAATCCAGCATGCTTCAGATTCGGCATCGCATACTTTGTTCGCTGCCAACCTACCTTCCTTCCCTCGATAAACGGACAGATGATTGCACCGTCACGCACTGCTAGCGACATTAGTCAGAAGGCCTGGGACAGGGGTCACAGCATTTTGTGCCCTCCCGCAGTTTTTCGCGCGTTGCCATTCATACCTTGCAAGAGCTCTCATAATAAGTATTATTAAAGTAAACAGCACACCATACTGCCTGTATACACCGTGGAACGAATTAAAAATGAAAAATGTTTACAAATCTCTGTAACGCGAATTTAGAGCGCAGCTCTTGAGGAGGAGAGGAGGGTACGGAGTGGAGGGCATTCCCCCCTTCCTCCTCCGTACCCTCTTTTCCTCCTCCTCCTGCTCCCAGTTTCCTCGCTAAATTTAGCTGAAAAAATGTCGCCACGCGACCTGAACACCCTATTCAGTTTCCCTGCTAAACTTGGTGGGGAAAATGACGTCGCATGACTTGGTATCACGTCACTTAAGAACAAATTCAGTTTCTCCGCTAGATTTAGAGGGGAAATTGACGTCAAGTGACCTCAACACCAATTCAATGCCCCACTAAATTTAGTGGAAAATTGAATTGGTGTTGAGGTCACGTCAATTTTCCCGCTAAATTTAGCGCGGTTACGCCGACGCCGACACCGACGCCGCAGAACACGGAAACGGGCGCCTAAGAGCTGCGCTCTGAAATGACACGTGGTTCAAGACAAGTCTTTATTCCACGTATGCAAAAATAGTATTGCCTTTTCAAGCGCCGTTAGTCAGCTCGATGGGAGACTGGGAGCGCACCAATGCTGGTAACTCTGTCGATGTAATTCCGGACATCAACGAACGTGGCAGACCGTGCGCAAACCAGGTCGAATATTGTCGCACCAAGCGCCTGTTTTGTGTTAAGCAAGGTCACTGCCCTTGGAACTTTTGTTTCAATGGTGAAATCCTTGGAACAAAATTGTGCCTCCACTGACCTTGGCCGACGAAAGAGAAAACGAAAGAATTTAGCGCCTTTTGTGTTAAACTGGGCGCCCTAAGGCACTACAGAGGGACTGGTCAGTCATTCAACCAGGATTGAGCACTTTGACGTGGCCATTTCGTCTCGTTGGATATTTTGTCTTGTTGGACATTTTGACCTGATTGGACATTTAGTGTCGATGGACGTTTTGACACGGATGTCACCTGGCCTACTGGACATTTTGACTCGATGGACATTTCAACTCGTTGGA